AAGGAATACATAGATACAAATGGAAAGGGAAGGAAGGAATAGATAGATACAGATGGAGGTGAAAGGCATGAAGGTAGATATATGCACGTGGAGGTGGAAGGAAGGATGGAAAGAAGGAATAGATAAACAGATGAAAACAGGAAGGAAGGAAGGAAAGCAGGAAGGAAGGAATAGATAAACAGACGGAGAAGCGGTTCTTGCTGGCTGGGACATCCTGGGACTTGAAGTCCACCTAGGTTAAAGTTCTTGAGGTTCAGAAACACTGGATGGCGAGAGGGGAAGTAGACCAAGCAGTGATATCCATCCTCCCCACCTGTTTTTTTTTTCCTACCTTTGTCTTTTCTGTTCTTCCTTTTCAGGAAAAACTGTGCCGAATCTCCAGACGGGCCCTTGCACTCTCCGCGTGCCCAGGAACCATGCAGTCTCCCAAAAAAGGCTTGATTTGCAACTTAAACCACGTTCACTTGCAGCACATCTCCTTGGGGCTCCACCTCTCGAGGCGGCCAGAACTTCAGGAGGATGTCAACACCTTGGGGCCATCCAGGGAACAAGTGGGTTGCCACGAATGCAAGGAACATGGTGGCCAACTGGTCCCGAGCCTGGTGGACGCCAACTCCAACAACCCATCGTTGCCTTGCCGGTGTTGTGACGCTCACCCGGTATCATCTGAGGTCAAGCAGGGCCTCCAGACTCCGTCTTCCTTGACCAACCGCCCAACCGTCAATGAGGATGAAGAAGAAGAGGTGGAGGAGGAGGAGGAAGAAGAGGAGGAAGAGGAGCAAGCATCTCCTTCAGATCCAACTTCTTCATCCATCAGCAGCTGCTCGGATCTCAGCTTAGACGAATCTCCTGTCTCGGTGTACTGCAAGCCCTTCCCTGCTGAAGAGGCCCGCAGTCCAGAAAACCAACCGAATATTGTCCCCTTGGAGGACACGCAGAACGTTCTGGCCCACCGCCAAGAGAGCGGTCCAAACCTTAATGTCCCCAGGGTTGAGCATCCTGAGGCCCATATCTGGGATAGTCCAGACAGCTTGTACAACAGCAGCTCCCCGGAATCTCTATCGGACAACTCTTCTCCTTGTCCAAGGAGCCCAGTTGGATCTTCTCAAACTGGGTCCATCAAGGTTCCTCCTCTTGTCCCACCCCCCGTCCGCCCCTGCAGGGCACCTCCTGCGGTGCCGGTGGTCCTCCCTTGTGGCCCGGATGTAGATTCCAACTGCAACGCTCTGCCGGCCCGTCAGGTCAAGCCCAGCAGCGTCTCCTTGGGCCAAGTAGACATCAACTCCAACCGAGCCACGCCAGCGAGGTCTCGTTTCGGAGGCGTGCCTCCTCCGATTCCCCCTCGGACCAAAAGGGGTCTTCAGGGGTTGAGAAGAACTGAAGGGGGGAAGCCACTTCCAGAGGTGGCCCCTCCTGAACGTGCGGAGCACCAGATCCACCGCACTGAACCCCAAGGAGAAACATCTAAGAAGATCATCACCTCCTTCCATGAGTTGGCTCAGAAGAGGAAGAAGATGGCCTCCGCGCCGCCCTTTGCCCAGACCAAGAAGGACCAAAGCGATTGGCTGATTGTCTTTTCTCCGGACACCGAGATGCCTCCATGTCACGAGCTCTCCTGGGAAACTGGCCAGGAGACCACCAAGTTATCCACTTCCACGGTGGAAACTTCTCCTCCGACCCTCGGTCTCCAACGAGGGGTTATCACGTTCAAGGACCTCCGTCATCGGAAGCAGAGCAGCCAAGTGGGCACCAAGGTGGGCAACCCAAGCCACCATCGTGGGCATCTTGGTCAAGGGGTCCCTGACGGTCACACCGGGCAAGAGACGAGCGACTCGGAGCCCGCGGCCAATGGACACTTGTGGGGCGCGAAGGAAATCCCGCCCCGGGTGAAGAGGCCTCGCCCGGGTCTACAGCCGATTGTAGAAGGAGGTTCTGACGAGGGAGAAGATGTAGGAGTCAAGCCAAGACAGCTTGGGAGACCCTTGGAGACTGAACCCCAGGAAAGGTGGGATCCCAACATCTGTAGGATGGCAGAGACAGGAGACAGGGAGGCCCCTAAAGGTAAGACGATCCTCCTTATCTTGACTGACAACTGGAATAATTAGGAATATAAACAAGGATTCCCTCGCCTCACAATCAGGAGGCTGTGAGCTCAATCCTAGATAAGAGGCAAATATTTCTCTCTCTCAACACAATGAGAATATTATCCGCTGAACAAAACTCCGCATCGGCAACAGGAAGGGGATCCGGCCAGTAAAACACCCCGCTCCATTCAGTTGCCTCGACTCCACCCCGCAAGGGATTATGGGGGGTCATTCAAAGGAGACAATAATAAGCCAGGATTCTGAGATCAACAGGCACAGCTCTATGCAGGTAGTTCTCAACTTACACGCCACGACCGAGCTCAAAATTTCCGTTGCAAAGCGAGACCGTCACTAGGGGAGTTTTGCTCTCTCTTACGACCTTCCTTGCCACTTCTGTTCGAGGGGATCCCTGCCGTTCTTAAGTCAGTCACACGGGGCTTAAGTGAATTGGGCTTTCCTTGCAACCGTCACCAGTGTGAAAAATAACCCCAAGTCGCTTTTTTTCCAATGCTATTGTAACTTTATTACATTAAGTGAGCCGTCGTAAATCGCCCTATCAACAGGAGATTTGAACGCCCATCCCAAAGGCATCCTCGCATCAAAGGAAGCTTAGGATACAAGAAGAGAGGCAAAAAAAAATTTCCTTTTCCCACATCTGTGCACAGCCATTTAACTATCTGCGATAAGCATAAATCCTTAAGATGTTTATCCTATTTAATCTCACCATATTTTATCTATGCTAATCAATAACCAGGCCATAATTATAATACTACAAAGCTCAGATAGGCGAGAGATTAAAAAAAAATGCCCAAACCAGCCTGAACAACTGGTTAACGACTTTGCAATTATATAATCTCACCATATTTTATCTATGCTAATCAATAATCAGGCCATAATTATAATACTCCAAAGCTTAGATAGGCGAGAGATTAAAAAAAATGCCCAAACCAGCCTGAACAACTGGTTAACAACTTTGCAATTATATAATAGTTAAGCAATGATTATAATGAATAATAATAATAATATTTTTTTAAAAAAAAACACCAGGAAGTTTGCTGGTGATTTTTGGCTGGGTTTTTTGGCTTCCTTGTTTTCTCTTCTTCTTCTTTTTCCTTTCCTAAATGCTCCTCCCATCGTCCCTGCAAGTGGATTAATATATATATATATATATATATATATTTAAATTGCTTCTCCGGGAATTCACTTTCTCTTTCGTTGTTCTTTGCTTCCGAACTTTCACCTTTCCGGCAAAACAAACTTGGGTGTTGTTTGCCAGCTCGCTTCCTGCCTTTATTTAAGGAGCCAGAGGGGTGGAAAGGTTTGGCAGGCGGGACGGAGAAATCCCGAATTCAGGAATCCGAATTAGCTGCCTTTTTTTTTTTTCCCTGTTCCAAAAAAAAAACCAGAGAGTTTCCTGCCCCTCACAAACACACTAAAAAAGAAAAAAAGGTAATTCCGAATTTCGCTTCCTTTCGTCAGCCAGGAGGAAGGAGAGGCACTGGATCTTGCAATCAGGGTTTAATGGTGGCTTGGCTCTCGTCCTCTCAGGAATCCCTAGTGGGGTGTGATGATGCCCTGGGGGGCAAGGGGGCAAGCAGAGTGTAGCCCCTCCCCTTGTTTTGGCATTGGGAGGGGGCTGTTTTTAACCTCTTTATTCCTGCAGGGATCCTTCCCTCGCCATCCTCTCAATTTCTACCTTTGGGCTGCAGAGGGTAATCAGGAAGCGGTCCTCCAGCCGAGGATGAAGGGGATTGTAGTCCAAATTCCAGGCTTCCAAATAGTGTGGGGGTGGTGGAGGTGTTGGCTTTGTGGGTGGGTGGGCTGTGCCTCCCCTCCCCCACCCCATGATATGTCTGTTTTATTGTGGTGTCCAAAATTAACGGTTATTTATTTTTTTTTCCTTCTCATATTCTCTTTTCCTTCCCTCCCTCCTGTCTTTGCAACCCGCACCCGGCTTTTCGACCCCTTTCCTGCTGCTGTTTCCCGCCCCCTCTTTTTTATTTATTTATTTCTGCACCATCCTCGTGTTCTCCACTGGCTCCCCGATATTTATTTCACCACCACCCCACCCCTCCAAAATCCTCCATCCATCTGGTTCTTGTCTCAAACCCCGGCTGCTATTTTTTTTTTTTTTCGGGATTCTTGACCCGGCGTCTTCCCTGCGTTTCTCGTCCTTCGTTCCCAACTGCCTGCAGCTCACCAGCTCCTCCCTCGGCCTCGGGGTCTCCTCGTCCCTTTCCCCCCAGCAAGGGGGCAAGCTGCTGGACCCCCTTCTCCCCTTCCCCACCCTCCCAGCTTGGGGAACCTGGCTCCGCTGCCCCCCGACACTTCAGCCGCGGCCTTTTGTCCAAGGCTGAAGACTCTCTCCTGCGAAGACGTTTGTTTATTGGCAACCCGGCAGGGACCGCTTTTCGACGCGGTGTCTCCGGACCTCCCTGTCCGTCTCTCGCCCGTCGGGGCGTATTCCCCGCCGGCTCGAAGCCTGCTCCCCTTCCTCCGCAGCCCTGATCTGGCCGTCCTGTTCTCCCCTTTCTTCCCCTCCAGCAAATCCTTCCCCATCTTAGCTTTCCCCACCCACCAGGTGCCTGAGCTGTCACTTGGAGCCCGAGACCCCCTGGGAGAGCCGGGTGGAAAGGGTCCCTGGGGGGAAGCTATGAGCGCCAAGGAATCGGGAGCCCCTCGCCAACGTAAGCCTCTCCCCCCCTCTTCCTCGATGGCGCTTTGCGATCTTTCCAAAGGGGGGGTCCTGTCTTTTGGAGAAAGGGGGAGGGGAGGACCCTAAAAACAGAGGAAGCTTAGCCCCAAAGAGAGGGAGGTAGTCTTGGCGAGAAAGCGGGAAAGTTAAAAAAAAAAAAAATCAGCCTTGGAATATCTTCCCGTATTGCAATATTTAAATCTAGACTTTTCCCAACCTCGACCGGAGTTTTCTATGCAACTTGAAGATGCATCGAACTTCAACTCCCAGAATTCCCCAGCCAGCCTAGAATTCTGGGACTTTGAAGTCCACGTGTCTTTTAAGTCGCCACGCTTGGGAAAACTTCGATTTAAAACAAAAACAAAAAACAAAAACCGTCTGGCATCGCATCGCAAAGGGACGTTGTTCGGACTTGGCTGGTCACCAGGAATTAACCGAGATCACCCTAGATAAGTAGGCCTAAATCTGACCCTCTCTTTTTCTATGGATCTGGCCAAGTTTTAAACATACGCTAGGAAGAGAAGGAAAAGAACTTGACCCTGGGATGAAGAAAAGGCAAGGGAGGAGCAGGGGAAGGAGGACTGAAAGTTAAATAATTCAATAATTCGCAAATCCTGCCCACCGAGGAGCAAGTCAGCATATTAAGGCAGGTTAATTCTTACGTTCTCCACTTTCCCCCCCCCCTTTTTTTCCTTTCTTTTCTTTCCTAGTTCGACATTCTCAGTCCTTTGCTGGGGTCTCACTCCAAGGCTGCCCAGGGAGGACAGGAGATGCGGTCTCTACACAGCTTCGACAACAGAAAAAAGGTAAGATTGTAGGTAGGTAGGTAGGTAGGTAGGTAGGAAGATATGAAGGAAGGAGACGATAGATAGAATGATAGAATGATAGATAGGTAGATACTAGATAGATAGATAGATAGATAGATAGATAGATAGATAGATAGATATGGAAGGATGGAAGAAAGATAGACAAACAGACGGACATACAGAGATAGACAGATATGGAAGAAAAGAAGGAACAAAGGGAAGGAGATATAGATAGATAGATAGATAGATAGATAGATAGATAGATAGATAGATAGATAGATGGATGGATGGATGGATGGATGGATGGATGGATGGATGGATAGGCAGGCAGGCAGGCAGGCAGGCAGGCAGACAGACAGACAGACAGACAGACAGACAGACAGATAGATAGATATAAGGAAAGAAGGAAAATAGACAGACAGACAGATATGGAAGGAAAGAAAGAAGGAAGGGAAGGAGATAGAGAGAGATGATAAATAGATAAATAGATAGATATAAGGAAGAAAGGAAGATATGATGGGTAGACAAAGATAAAGGGAGAGTGGGATGGATAGAGAGGTAGGAGGAGAGAGAGAGAGGAAGGAAGGAAGGAAGGAAGGAAGGAAGGAAAGAAAGAAAGAAAGAAAGAAAGAAAGAAAGAAAGAAAGAAAGAA